TGACTGTTTTTGTTGAAATCTATTAATGACATGATTCAACATAGTGTTTACACAGCTGGGTCCAGGTTCAAGTTCAGTAGGTCTGTTGTGGATCCTGTGAGAGAAGAATGTGCTTTTCATTTGCAGCCACAGAAGCTCACGAAGACTTAGAATACCTTCATCATCCCAAAGAGAAACTGCTTTGCAGCTGAGCATGAGCAGGAGGAAACTCCAAACTAAATTAAGAACAGAGCTCAACCCAGAGGTAAACACAGTCATTAACACTGTGCATGACAATTGATTGACTACTGTGTGAGCAGCAGGAGTTTGAATGTTGGACATGTTTTATAGAATAAAGGAATTCCTTGCTCAGTGACTTCCTTTGACTAGGAAACAACATCAAGCAGTTCATTTAAGTCAGACATCAAAGACTTTATGTTTATAACAGCTCACCTCTCTGCAGCAGACGCCTGCTTGACTTTAAAATGAATGTAGCGATCATTAGATGAGTCACTCTTACAGGACGCACAGCTGGGTGGAGGTCCAGGCTGGTCCCTGTGAATAATGATGCAGCAGTGATGTGAGTGCTGAGCTGTGACATGGAGAAGAGTCATGGACAGTTAGAGATGGTCATCTCACCTCTGAGCTTTGGTCTGGCTCTCATGTTCCCCACACAGAGTGCTTTTAGAGGGAGGGGCTCCCTCCTCTCTGTCCTCACACTGATCCATGCTGCTGAATTGACGTCAGCTCACACACACTTTCTACCTGCAGAGGAAACACAAATCATTCATGTGCACATCAACTACTAAGATCAGGTGACTTCAAAGTGCAGTAAGTCATTCACTTGATGTGTTTGAAAACTTACCTTGGGATTTAGTGTATTGGGTGTAAAACTCAAAGTTAAATTAAAGTGGTGGGTGGGCTCATTTTGACAGAATATATAATATTTCATGAATGAATTAAATGCAGAATTTAGACTTTCATTTATAGCATCTACACTGATGATAAAATTACCTAGTATGATTATTTTATCTGAACTCAGCAGTGAATTAGATTAAAAACTGAGGAACAGCCGGGTGGACAATAGATTAAAA